GAATTTTTCCCTATTCAAATGGACATTTTCTATTTTAATTTAGATGTTTTTTCCCCTATTTAAATGAACAATGGGCCTACAAGTGAATCAACAACATTCTCAAATCAAAATATTTATTCAAATGGACATCACATAGGGTTTTTACTTAGGTTTAACTATAGGTCGGGTCGGGCCGGGCTCGGGCCAGGCTATTTTGGCAAAGCCCGAGCCCGGCTCGAATTTTATGCGGGTCGGGCTTTTTGGCCCGAGGTTAAGCCCGCAGGCCAAAAAACCTGTTCAAGCCCGTCTGGGGGTCAGGCCGGGCCGGGCCGCCCCGTCGGGCCACCCAGCCCATGAACATGTTTAGTTGCAACCAATATCTTTTGCTCTTTTAAATGGATCCCTAGAGAATTCCACAATGTTGCTGATGGGCTGGCTGAATCTGGAGTGGATAAGAATTTTTTGTATAGTGTGAACACTTTCCCTTTGTAAATTTGGGGGGTGGGATCATTTTGGGTCTTGTTTTGTTTTCTTATTTGAGCTTGTAAATGTATATGACAGTTGTCAGAATTCAAGAAACAATAGCTAGCTACAACTGGCCATCTAGCTATCCATTAAGGCATGTGTGGAAAGTTGGCTACTCTGTAATTTTGTATATATACTTGATCATTTAAGTTAATAAACACAACTTTTCCATCTCATTTCAAGAACTCTGTTCGACTTTCATGGTATCAGAGCAGTGATCTACCGCTGCGAAGAAAAAGAATCACACCATGTCATTGGATTTTGGGAGCGACTCACCATTCTTTCTTCATCCATCCGATAGCCCAGGAGCCATGCTCGTTTCATCACCACTCGTCGGAGACAACTTCCCGATGTACAACGAGCAATGAAAAACACTCTCTATTCCAAGAACAAGTTCATGTTTGTGGACAGATTGCTGCTAAAGCCACCTGAATCGACACTAGAGGAAAGTGCCTAGATAAAGTGCAACTCAATGGTAGTTGCTTGGATATTCAATGCCTTGTCAAAGGAATTATACGACAGTGTGGCGTTCATTGACTGTGCAGCTGAAATATGGAAGGAATTGGAAGAAAGATTTTCACAGGGTAATATACCCCACATTCATCAATTGAAGCGAGATCTGGCTCTCTTGCAGCAAGGCGATCTAAGCATTGCTGCATACTTTACCAAACTTAAGACCCTATGGGACGAGCTTGGGGCGCTGGTCATCCATCCATAATGCACCTATGGAGCACCAAAGGCTTTCATGGTTGAAAGATAGAATGAGAAGCTCCATCAATTTTTAATGGGATTAAATGATACGTATAACACCATACAATCAAATATCCTCAATTCAAATCCTTTGCCGATGATCAACAAAGTATATTCGTTGCTTGTACAAGAAGAGCGTCATCAACAGATTGTCTTTGTTCGACCACTACAACCTAAAGCAACAACTTTCAATGCAAGATTCAACAAATCCACTAAAACTTCACGAACACAAACCAATCTTGGATCTCGCCCACGATATAAGTGTGACTACTGCAAGAAATATGGTCACACTCGTAATCAATGCTACGAGCTGAATGGCTACGCTGCCAATTGGGACAAGAATCGGCGAAAGACTGACAAATCATCTCCAAGATCGTACAAGCCCGCTTCTTATGCTACCTCTGATCAGACTCATTCCACAATAGATGCACCATCACCGATTGTCGGTCTCAATATGCAGCAATATTCTCACCTCTTGTTATTGCCGCCACATCCTCTGGTAAGCATACCAATCCAATTGAATGGACCATTGACAGCGGTGCCAACATTCATATGGTTTCTTCCACACCCCTCTTTTCTAAACAACAACAATTGACCACACCAAAACTTATTCATTTACCTAATGGTGGTATTTTCCATCCAACTCATTGCGGGACTGTAACTATTGGCAATCATACACTTGACCATGTTCTGCACATTCCATCATTTGAATGCAATTTGCTTTCAATTAGTCAAATTACTCGCCAACTTAGCTGTGTTGTTATATTTTTCCCCACATTCTATGTCCTCTAGGACCCTCATTCCAAGATACTGATTGGAACAAGTGAGCTCCATAGAGGACTATCATCTCTGGTTTCAACCTGCTCCTTCGACAATTGCCCCTTAGGTCTTTTCCAACAAAGTCTCCTCAGCTAATGACTCCATTCTTTGGCATATGCGACTTGGGCATTCCTATCGTCATTGTCTCTCCCACATTGTTGCGCCCTCTCATCATTGTTCTTGGGCATATGCGACAAGCACCGCAGCAGTCTCCTCAGCTGATGACTCTGTTCTTTGGCATATGTGATGGGTGAGTTCCATTGTTGCGCCCTCACATTGTTGCGATGCTTGTCACTGAGCCAAGATAACACGATTGCCCTTTCCAATTAGTAATTCATGTAGTAATTTTCCATTCTCTTTGATTCATTGTGACATTTGAGGTGGGTATAAAACCCCTCACATTCTGGTGCACATTACTTTTTAACCATTGTAGACAATAACACCTGTTGCACTTGGGTCTATCTCATGAAAAATAAGTCAGAGGCAGGTTCTTTGCTTATAGTTTTTTTCCATATGGTGCGTTGCCAATTTAATTGTCAAGTACAACAATTCCGATCGAACAATGGGTCTGAATTTAACTCAAAGTCTATCCAACAATTCTTCACTTCTCTAGGAATAATTCACCAAACCTCTTGCATTAACACCCCTCAACAGAATGGCATAGCAGAACGCAAACACCGCCATTTACTTGAGGTGGCCCGTGCGTTGAGGTTTCAGGCATCCCTTCCTCTTTCTTTTTGGGGAGAATGCCTCCTTACTGCCACATATATAATCAATCTTTAACCCACTAAGGTCCTTTCAGGAATTTCTCCTTATGAAGCTTTGTTTAACTGCCCACCTTCATATGAAAACATGCAAGTCTTTGGCTGTCTTTGTTACTCACAAATACACCCTCAACCTTCAGATAAATTTGCTGCCCGAGCCGCAAAATGCGTCTTTGTAGGATATCTACATGCCCAGAAAGAATATCGTGTGTATGATCTTGAAAATCACCACATATTTACTTCTCGTGATGTCATATTCTATGAGACCTATTTTCCATTCCAAATGGCTGAGCAAAATACTACTCAAGTATTGCCAATCATATCACCCAATGAAGTTGTAGATTATCCAGGGGAACCTTGTGATTCCACTACCATTCAGCCCGCACCTATTGAACCAACCCAGCTCGCAACTACTGAGCCCGTTTTCATTGAACCCACTATTGCTGATAACCTGAACACAGTATCCCAAACCATTGACACCATTGACACCATTGACACCACCACCATTTCCACCACTCGACCTCGTTGAACTACCATCCATATCTAGAACCAATGGTGCGTCCCTTGAGACTGAACCAACCACCTACAAGCTACCCATGATCCTAGATGGTGCCAAGCCATGGCAGCTGAAATTGAAGCATTAGAAAAGAAAGATACTTGGACCATTGTTGATTTGCCACCCGATAAGCGTGCCATTGGCAACAAATGGGTATATCATATCAAGTACAAAGCTGATGGAACTATTGAACGGTTCAAAGCCCGACTTATTGCAAAAGGCTATACACAAATTGAAGGTCTTGACCACCACAACACCTTTGTTCCAGTAGCAAGATTATCTACTATTCGTTGTTTTCTTGCTGTGGCAGCAGTTCGTGGTTGGGCCCTTCATCAACTAGATGTAAACAATGCCTTCTTACATGGTGATCTTAATGAAGAAGTCTACATATCCATTCCTCATGGCTTTGCTAAAAACGGTGACAGAAGAGTCTACAAACTTCAAAAGTCCCTCTATGACCTAAAACAAGCATCCCGCATGTGGTTTGCAAAATTCACACATGTCCTCACCTCCATTGGTTTTACACAATCAACCGCAGATTACTCCTGTTTTACCATCTCAAATGATGCTTCTTACACGGTTGTTTTGGTCTATGTTGATTATGTCATCATTACTGGCAATTATCCATATAGAATTACCTCCCTCAAAACCTACATCAATGACAAGTTCGGCATCAAAGACCTTGGGGCCTTAACTTTTTTTTTGGGACTTGAAGTTTCATGCACCCAAGATGGGATATACCTCAACCTGCAAAAATACATTATGGATCTTCGTTGTGATACAAACATGTTGGACTGCAATCCATGCCTCACACCTATGGAACGACAAAAGCACTTTGTAGATCCAAATAGTCTCACTTTCTCTGACCCAACTCTATACCAGTAGGCCGATTGGTGTATCTGACTATTACGCGCCTTGATCTCAGCTTTGCAGTCAATTGCCTCATTCAATTCATGCATGATCCCCATGATGAACATTTTGATGCTACTCTCAGAGTTGTTTGGTACCTCAAGGGTACGATTTCTCAAGGCCTTTTCTTTTTCTGCTCAATCATCTCTTCAACTTGATGCTTACTACGATTCAGATTAGGCCAGCTGTCCAATAACGAGACGCTCCACAACTGGTTATCTGATGCTTCTTGGTGATTCTCCATTATCCTAGAAAACTAAAAAACAACACACAGTCTCTCGATCCCCTATGCGTTTATTCTACGACAGCAAAGCATCATTACACATTGCATTAAATCTGGTATTTTTGAAAGAACTAAACACATAGAAATTGATTATCACTTTGTTCATGAATACATCCAGCTTGGCGATATTATCACTTCCACTACAAGAAAAATGACCTGAGCCGGCGGTTTGGCGGTCTTCAAGGCCGCCGCTATAGAAAGATCTGAGGTGGCGTTCTTTCGAGGACCGCGCTGCCTAGAAAATTAAAAAAAAGAAGAATAAAAATTGGGCGGCGGTCTTTAGAACTGAAACGACACTTTGTAAACTGAACCGGTCTAAATAACCCGGCGCTGAGAGATCCAAAAGCCAAAACTCCCGCATTCTGCTAATTCCCACGCGGTCTTTAGAACTGAAACGACGCCTTTTAAATTGAACCGGTCTAAATTACTTAACGCTGAGAGGTCCAAAAGCCAAAACTCCCGCATTCTGCTAATTCCACTTTCGACAAAATTCTAACGAAAAAGGGTTCTCTCCATAGCAGAAAACCAGTTGCAGTGGTGAAAGTAAGATCTTTCTCTCTTTCTCTCTCTCACACACACATACTCACTCACTCACTCTCATTCTCTCTCTCTCTTAAAATATCATCACTGCCTTCTTCTTTGTGGTTGATTCATTTGTGCTTCGACCTCACCCACATGTATTGTCTTTAGGGATTTCTGCCATTTGAGGGTTTTTTTGCCGTCGTCGTCAACGATTCTTAAGAGCAAGCACAAGAGGTATGTTCACCAAGGCGTATGTAAACAATTTTTTTTTTTTTTTTTTTTTCGTTTTGCTCCAACTGCATGTTAACGATATGATTTTGATATGTATTTACAGGATATGAAATTTGGCTAGCAGAGTGTCTTGGATACGATTACTGACTTCTTTAGAGTAGCTTTTGGGAGTGTGGGGGTGTTGGTGGTGGTGGGATCTTCGTTCCCATGTTTACCCTTGTGAAATAATCAACAACAATATCAAGATGTAAGAGATATGTTGTTATTGTTTCCTCTTAAGCTTTCTTTAGTAGTGTCATAGACCTGACTTGTTTGGAAGAAACTCTGCAATTATGTTAAACCCTTTCTATAAAGGGAAAGAGTTGTAAATTCTTCTACTTTATAGAATGAGGAGAAAATTAAGTGGGAAGAAAAGATTTTTCAACTCAAATCCTTTCTTAAGATATGATTTTAATTCTATGCTTTTCTAGATAAATTTTGGTTGACTTATTTTTTAATCTATTACTATAAGAGGATAGCTTACTTTTTTAAGTAATCCTGGTTCATCTGAAATTTTTTCTTTTTTTTTTTTTGAATTTATATGAGGGTAATTTACATTTCAATTTGTCCTAATCTTCTAATTTTGAGTCTTTGAGGATGTAATCGAGGCCTTTCCCTTGAGCTTCATTCTTGTTCTTGGGTTCTTAAATATAGCATCTCAAGATACATTGTTTCTGTATTTCTTTCTAGTTCTTTGTATTCACATGCTTATTTAACTTATTTCTTCCTAAAGATATTTGAGAATCCTACCATTCTAAAATTTCTTCATATGAGAATTGTTCTTTTTTCTTCTCATTCAGGTGGTTTAGTTTAATTATTGAACTTTTATATGTGTTCATGTTTCAAATATATATTAGAATTTTGGTTCTGACCATTCTATACTATAGATGGATAGAGATATTTTTATCCTGTTCTATACATAATCAAGCAGGATTAAGACATAACTTATAGTTTTGGCCTTCTATTGATGACTAAATTGCTGGATTATAATAAGAAATGGTGGTCAATGAAATGCTTTGAACCAGAAGTAAGAAACAAAATTGCACCTTAATAGTTTGATTTATTTTCAGATTTAATAGGAAGAAAACAAATGATACTGGTCATAGAGTATTTCTTTCTTGACTATGAACAACCTAGATGTGGCCTACTACTTTGTTTGTTGGCATGTCTTAATCTACAATTTGAAACCAACTTTTAGGGATCATGTTTGATAAAGAGTGCTTGTGATTGGTGTTTGGAGTTTAGGATTTGTTCTTCTATTAGGGTTGGGAACCGGTTTAGGTTTCTTTTTTGACATTTGCCTGTAGCTCATATATGATATATAATATATCCATTTACCCTAGTTTTTGTTCCATCTTCTTTATTAGAATTGTTGGCTCATTTATTCACTCTTGAGTTGGCTTAGGAGTGTAGATTACAATAAACTCTAGTTGGGTTGCATTACTCAAAAGTGAATTAAGTGTTTGGGTCATATAGGACTAGCTAGGGGAGGTAGCAATAGGTTAGATCACATTCAGTTTGGTCATATTGGATCCAGTAGGAGAGAGGAGATGAAAAATTTGCTCTTTCTATTATTGCTCATAGTAGTTTCTATCATTTTGTTATGAACCATTTGGTTGGTCCATAAGAAAACTCGCAGTATGGTTGAAAAAACTGGGCCCCACTTTTGTCAAAGTTGTAAAAAAGTGACTTTTTGTAACCATGCAACCCATTTGGTGGTATTCTACAGCCTATTGCTTTTAGTTTTTTGAATCATGCAAACCCAAAAGAGAGTATCATGCTTGCATGAGTTTGGGTGTGGGCCAAGCAACTTGCCACCTGGGTATTATTATATAATACATTAAAAAAGCTTGTTAGTACCATAAAGCAGTGGAGATAATTGCAAGACCCTGGGATTTGTGGTCCTGGAATCAGAACTTTGGAGGTTCCTGATAATAATTGATCAATGCTTGCATTATGCTTTAAATCAGAACTTTGGAGGTTCCTAAAAGCTGTAATGGGGAAGCAAGATTCACATTCGATTATCTATGTGATCGCCTGGTAGTATGTCTGCCCCTGTATGATAAAAATAGTATTATAGTTAACCTAACTTTTATTTGATCTTGATCTAATGAGTTATTTAAACATTGATCTTATAATTCTAGTGCTAATAGCAGTATTTTTGCTGCTAGTGAATGTTAATCCTTTTTCAATTTTTTTTTATCAGCATTCTTTTGTCAAATGTTCCGTTAGTATTGAATTTATGAGAAATTGTAGGACCCACCTAAATTAGATCAAAACTTTTAATAATTGGGAGCAATTTTCAGACCATGTCAGGAGATCTTGAGATGGAGCTCAATCTAGCTCAGACTGAGGATGTCTCTTAATTGAGAGGATCTCAGGCGACTATGTAGCTAATCCCAAATAGTATCTTATGGTGGCCATTAGTTTTTTATGTTTTGGTTAGTTATGGTGGCCGACCAATCTTATTCTGGAATTCATAAATCTAGAAGTGGCAGACTTCAAGACTTCCATTACTTTTATATTGGTATTTGGAGCAACTTCTTGCTCCCACTTTTGATCAGTTTTCGTTTATCTGTTATTGCATTGATCATGTCTTTAAATCCTTGTGCTTTGAAACAAATAATGTGGCTGTGGACATGTGTTTTGCATCTGTATTTACTTAGTAGTCAGTTATTCATAATAGATGAAATGATACTTAGCCTTTCCAAGGGAGGAAATAGAGAAGCAGGAGTTGCTGCTGGAATTTCTTTTGCAGCTACAACAAAGGAAACAAGAAGCTGCTGACAAGTTGCATGATACCATTTGTTATCTGTCTTTGACATTGAAGAAGTTCTGAAGCAACAAAAGATGCTTAAGAAAAAAAAGGAGGTTTATACCTAGATCTGAACAAGGATGTTTTCAGCTGCAGGCTATGACAAAAATCCCTTTGTTTTTCTTTCTTTTACTTTTGCATTGGAAGATGTGCTTCATTATTATAGAATTTGATTTTTTTTTAAGTTCTTGTACTATTTATATTTCAATTGGATATTGTATTTGAACAATGTCTTTTGGATACTTCAATATATAATCTTTGAATTAATAGATTTCATTTTAAATTGATTTTTATCAAATGGTTTTTTTTTTGTATTAAATAGGTATGAAAATGCTACATCAATAAACAATTTAGATATCACAAAATGTCAGAATTAATATGGTATAATTGTATAAATAAAAATGATAAAAAAAGAAATCTAAGCCGACGGTCATGGAACTGCTGGTTTAGCCACAAACAACACCTAAGGTGGCGGTCATTTAACACCTAAGCCAGCGGTTCGGACCGCCACCTAAGAATGAAAGGGAATTTGGCAGAAATCTAAGGTGGCGGCCTTTTGGTATCTAGCCGGCGGTCAAAACCGCCGCCTGATTAATACTAAGCCGGTGGCTCGGTATGACCGCCGCTTCAGAGCAATTTCAACCGATCGTTTTTCTTGTAGTGTTCTCACATATCTACCACCATTCAGCCTGCAGATATCTTCACAAGTCGGTTACTTTGTAATTCTGTATATATACTCGATCATCTAAGTTAATAAACACAAATTTTTCCATCTCATTTCAATAACTTTGTTCGACTTTCAGAGCTGTCAGAGGACAGAATGGTGAAGCAGGATTGATGCAGCCAACCCCATATGATTGGCGCAAGGCTTAGATGATGGGTCCTAACTGAACATTTGACCTCAATGAACAATTTGATCAGATTACTGTCCCCACTTGCCTTTTTGGACTGTTAAGAGAAAAATTGTTTAGGGAGAGGCATATAGACCAGATGGTTACTATATTGTTAGTTTTGCTGACTTGGGACATCTACTGGATGCAATTAATGCCAGTGAAAAGGTGGGTCCTGAGTCCTGACATGTGCATTTGCAAATCTAAATCTGCTATGGGACTATCTATCCTTCTAGGGATGCTCCCATTTCTTTGTTACATATTGGCATATGGTCCATATTTGCACATGTGCAATAGGACATCTAGATATGTATGGTCCACTTTTCTTCATTGTATATGGCCTTCTACTTGACTCTGCTTGGTATCCAGATTCCGGTGTAACTAAAATTCCTGAAAAATGTTGGAGACTTGTGTGGTCATGCATGATGCAACCCTCTGAGTCTCTCGCAATATGGTAATGAACGCTCCCACTGCCACATCTACCCAACCCATTTCTACTTACTCTTTCCTCTGTGGTGGAATGGAAGCTTAGGATCAAATGAGAATGAATGAAAACTTGAAAAGAGTTCTAACCAAAAGCAAAGATGGTCTGCTATTTGTTGTTTGTGAAAGCAAGAACAGAGTTGGGTTGAGGGTGGAGAAGGTGCAATTAACTGTGTAAGCAAATTAAAACAGAGTAGTGTGGAGTACTAAATAACGAAAACTCCCGTCCCCTATTTATAATTTTATAGGATTATAACCATGAAAGCATAGTGGGCTCTACACGGTTAATCCGCTGCTCAAACAATAGAAAAAGAAAATCTGAATTTATTTTCGCTCATTCCAGGAAGGATACTTGCTGCATCTTCGCTCATTTCTTCTTAAAAATAAAAGAAGAGAGAAAATCTAGTTCTTTCGGCACCCTGAATAGTATCCTCCAGCATTGTATTAAAGCTGAAGAAGTTCTGAGAAAATACGCTCGGAAATCGGAATGACGGAAAGAGAAGTCAAGCACGCGTCATAGAGCGAAGGGTATTCCTTGTGGTGTGGAAAAAAGTAAAATTTTCTCTTCTCCTACAATGAAAAGCATCCTTCCAAAACGAGTAAGATATCTGCTGCCAACACACAAGTATTTGAGTTCCATGTCTATGTTCCATAATACTCCTGCCACCAAAAGACATTCTAACACTCTATCAACATGATCTGACACCGGACATCTTATCATGAGACTGGGATCCATCAGAAACGTGGAGAATCCATATATAGGATGTGCGGTGTAAGATCATGGTGATAGAGTGTTGGAATTACTTGGCAGAGATCCGGACTCGTATAGAACACTGGCGTGGGACGGTGTGAGGCTGTGGGGACGGTGTAAGTACAGGCCTACCCTGACCGAAGCCGATTTCCATATGATATAGTTACGTAGCCCAGTTCTCACGCCAGTATTCACACTTTGGCAGTGGAACGAGACCGGATTCACTCAGAAATAAAGGCTGTTCGAACTGAAGCCGATCTCCCAGTGGAACCCATGTTCTTCTAAACGCTTTATCACCTACCCAGCATTGGGAAAAGGAGATCACATCTCCGCCCTATAATGCCCCACAGTACATCCCCATTGTGTAATCGGAATATATCCTGATGATGTCAGTTCTGGTATATCATCGAAAGATGTTCTCACTGCACGACGAAGATATACTGTGGGGGCGGAGATGTGAACTCCCAGGGAAGATGTAGGCAACTTCCATGGACGCGTATCCGACATATTGTATTAAAGTCAATCTTTTAAGCTGATTCCAGAAAGAGCTAAGCCTCGCAAAAGTCGATTCAACCCAAAAAAGCGGGTCAGGGTCCCCCTATCTAGTGACCCGAACTAGAAGGCAACATGCCCTGACAAGACCCGAACAGACTTTTGGTCGGGTCGGTTTAAGCCACGGGTCACCATTGTTTTCAAATCACTTGACCCAGATAATCGAAGTGTTTAAACTGTATGATTTGGACGGTTAAACCAGTGTTTTTAACCCTCTGTTGGCGTGTCAGTAGCACTGTTTGAATTTGTATAGATTTCCCTATCTTTTCTTTCAAAACTAACAGGAGGGCTTCTCGCATTTGAATTTAGTCCCATTATTACTGATTCGAATTCCTATTCCTATTCCTGTCTGAACAAAACAGATTATAAGAATGGATCATTCCGATTCTGATTCTAATTCCAATTCTAATTCCGATTCCTATTCCAACTATGAATCAAATAGACCCTGAATTTTTAACGACAAAAAGAAAATAAATCCTTAAAATAAAGAATGCTAAATGCAGCCTTAAACACCAATAACAGGATATTTGGCTTAATGATGAGCTCCTTACTATGATTAAAATGAGGCTTCGGGAAGTGAATTTAGTCTTACTTCTCTTGCTTTTAAGGCTATTTAGTACGGCTAAGAACGGTTAGCCTTTTGCATAGATATTTAGAGGGGCAAGGCTTCTACGTCCCCCTCCCTCATAGGTGATTGAATTTGAATTCTAATAAAATCCAGAGTAACTTTTGGGGTTAAAAAAGTTTATTTTTATTTGTTTCTATCCTACCAAGTTCGGAGAGGGATATATTTATCTCCAAAGTCCAAAGTACGTAATTTCTAAGAATTCCTTCAACAATTCAATTCTGCACTAGTCTTTTCCACTTCTCATATTGAAAGGTCACACTAAAGAGTTTTCAGCTCATATATAATTATGGTGTATAGGGTAAACTTCTAATAACTCATCCAATAATTATAAAAATAAAGAAAAGAGAAAAAACATTAAAAATATTTTCTTTTTATAATTCTTTAAAAAAATATTAAGATATGAATCTAAAATTTTAAACATCCGTCTTGGGACCTTTTAAACCATGCTTAATTTTGGAAAGGGTTGGTTTGTGTCTGATTCAGTTGGGGATGTTTTTTTTTTTTAGATGAAAATAGAAATATATTAAGACAAAGCAAAGAGAGATGAGTCCATCCAACTGGGAATGTTCTCCCAGTACCAAAAATTCTCAGTACTTTCGGCCTCTTGGGCCAAGTTAGGAATTGGGTTTGGGCTAAGAAATGTCAGCCCACAACGGTTTTGCGTTATTGCATAGTAGGGATGAGACTTAGGTTGGGCCATCTGGAACCCAGTTTCGGCTGGATTTCGGGTTAGGGTTAGAAAATTCCAACCCACTATAAGATTGAATTGGTTAGAACTGTTGTGCAAGTCAATCCGATCCTATGTATTCTTATAACCATTTACACATGATATATGATGTATCTGTATGCATATAAAATATGTTCATGTGGGAGGGGGAGAAGAGAGGGTGATGGTGATGAGTGGTTTATTATAAATTGGGTACGTAACTTACAGGTTAACAACCTGTACTATAGAAGTAGTGATACTTACTTCCCTCAACTTTCATGTGTGATAAATTTTCAGTTCCAACAATGAGGTTAATTAATTTATTAAAATGCCCTTTCAAGATTCGTATGAACAAGAGGACCACATTTCCAAATGATGAAAATGGATAATCTCTTTCTCGCTCATTTTGGGTGAGAGAGAAGAAAGAAAGATAAGTATTGGAATCTTAAAGTTTAAAGGGTAAGTGGCACTGCCCCAAAAGTACAAGATGGTAATTTGTAATTTACACTATATATGTATGTTTGTTTGTGTATACACACATACGAGTACACACTTCTTGTGTTTGTGTATTTAACAAACCGATTACCACCTGTATTTTGAGGATAGTGATATTTAGCACCCTGAACTTTTATCTGCATTAAATACCATGGTTTCCAAAACTAGAGCAGATCGGACCGGAAAAACCAGGAATCGGTCAGCCGTTTTTTAAAAAAATCGGATTTTTCCTTCAAACCGTTGATTTTGGTCAGCGAACTGTTAAATCGGGCAATTAACTATTTAAATCATTTTGACTGTTTTTTATTATTATTTTTTTAATTTTTAATTTTTTTTTGTCAGAATGGGCCGAATGTTTGATTTGAAACGGTCGAACCATTCGACTCGATAACCATACCCCTGACCAGTTTGATCTCTAAGTTGGTTTTAAAAACCATGATAAATACCCCCTTGAACATTTTAAGTAGTTATATTTGGTTTGAAAGGAAAGATAGGGAACCCTTCCTTACTTTTTTTTCTTCAAATCAAACACAACTTAGATTCCAATACTTTGATAGATAAAGTTATTTTACTAAAATGCCCTTTCAAAATGCATATAAGCAAGAAGACATGATTTCAAAATTGACTGATGATGCAATCAGAATTGGCTGCTAGTCAGAAACTAACAGGTCCGTTGAGACGGGTGGAATAGTCAAGTCACCTCACCCTAGAGTGCGACCACACACCTTCACCGGGCTCGGACAATGTGTGATATGTCCCCTC